TTTGATTCTGGTGCTTCTCATTCATTTATACCATATGCATGTGCTGCTATGCTGGGTGTGCCTGTGTGTGATTTGGGGTTGAGACTGCTAATGTCGACGCCCGCTTCTGCTTCGGTAGTTGCTTCTGAGCTGTGTGCTGGTTGTCCGATTGTTGTGAATGGGAAGAAGTATAAGGTGAACTTGATTTGTTTACCTTTGGTGGACATTGACATAATCTTAGGGATGGATTGGTTGTCTGCCAATCGAATTCTTATAGACTGTGCCAATAGACGATTGATCTTTCCTCAGGCGGAGGAGGAGCTGTTGATTTCAGCTGGCCAAGCTGAATCGTTGCTGAGAGATGGAGCAGAGTGTTGTCTTCTCACTAGTACAAAAGGGGTCTTTTATGTCGCATATTTTGAGCCTTTTACGTCGGAAAAGGCTCTTACGTCAATGTGGGAGACGTAAATTTACGTCGGCATTCAAAAACCGACGTAAATTTACGTCAGAATTACTAGGTCCGGCGTAAAAATTAGTAAAAAAATTTAAAAAAAAAAATAACGAGTGCAAGCAGAATGGCCCGTTCCAGATGCAGCAGAAAGCAAAAACGTGCAGAGCCAGCTCCATGCCAATATGCAATTAGTGTACATGTTAGACAAGGAAAAGGAAAAGAAAAATAAGGGAACTTGCAATTAAGTGTACATGGTAAAAGGAAACGTACCGTCGTCGTCGTGGAAGCCAAAGTCGCGCCGCAAGCAAAAGGTGGAGTGGAGCTCCAAAAGGCGCAGATCTGCAATGTTGGTACAGAGAGGGATTCATTCCAAGACAATGTGGTAACATAACAACCAAATGATAAAACAAGAGTGAACAAAAGTATTAAGATTTGATTTTTATGAAGGACCCTACAAGGATGGAGATGAAAGAAGAATTCAGCAGTAGTTAAAACGTGAAATTACTACACCTTTTGCTTTATCAAATATTCAGCAGTAGTTAAAAATGGAATGTGCAGAGAGGGACGCCTCGCGAGCCGGGAGCGGATTCCCCCATCAAATGAAGACTTGGGCCTGCTTTCATGGAAATATAGAGGCTAATTTACGTAGGACAAGGGGGGTCCGACGTAAATTAGTCTCTTTATATTTACGATACTGCCACCGCATTTTTATAACGTCGGGTTTTCGTGTTTCCAAGGTAAATTAGGTGACGTAAAAGCCTATTTTTGCACTAGTGTCTGCTTGTTGCCCTGAGTGTGGAGACTGAGAGAGTTATAGCTGATATTGATGTGGTGAGGGACTTTGCTGAGGTGTTCCCTGATGAGGTGCCTGGATTGCCTCCTGTTAGGGAGATGGAGTTTAGCATTGACTTGGTTCCAGGTGCGGGGCCAGTGTCGGTGGCTCCCTATAGGATGGCTCCTGCTGAGTTGGTTGAGCTGAAAGGTCAGTTGGAGGACCTTTTGGAGAAACAGTTGATGCGGCCGAGTGTATCACCGTGGGGTGCTCCTATGTTGTTGGTGAAAAAGAAGGATGGAGGTAGTCGACTATGTGTTGATTACCGTTAGTTGAACAAGTTGACCATTAAGAACAAATATCCACTTCCCCGGATAGATGACTTGATGGATCAACTGAAGGGAGCATCTGTGTTTTCCAAGATTGACTTGATGTCAGGTTATCACCAGATTAGGGTGAAGGAGGGTGACATACCGAAGACTGCTTTCAGGACTAGGTATGGTCACTATGACTTCGGTAGTTGCTTCTGAGCTGTGTGCTGGTTGTCCGATTGTTGTGAATGGGAAGAAGTATAAGGTGAACTTGATTTGTTTACCTTTGGTGGACATTGACATAATCTTAGGGATGGATTGGTTGTCTGCCAATCGAATTCTTATAGACTGTGCCAATAGACGATTGATCTTTCCTCAGGCGGAGGAGGAGCTGTTGATTAGACATTGTATACATTTATATTCTAGATCCTATATTTATATACTCGTTCTATTCTGTCTAGTATTTTCGGTGTGCTGTGGTTGTGAGTGTAGTGACCACAGCCGGGTCGTTACAAATTCAACCTCTTTTATTATTTCGTAATGATTAAAAATTTATTTAATAATATCAATTTTTAATATATAATTTATATTTTAAAAAAACAGTTGAGATTTCATTTTCTTGTTTTATTTCTATCTAATTAATTAATGCATCTCTATTTAAGAATTTTTTTTATATAGAAGAATAAATACATTATAAAACAATCAATGTAAATTTCCAAAATGTTCTTATAAAAAAAAAATTCTGATATGAAAGCCGCCATATACAAATCAATAAGCATTGACTTTATAGAGTTAATTTGTTATATTTATGTTATTAAGTTCTTCATTCAAATGGTGACATACGAATATCGTATTGATTTTTTTTTCTTTTATAATGAATCGATCACTTTTACAGTGTTCGGCTAGGGAGAAATGAATAAGAGAGAAGAAAAAAACACTTATATTTTTTGTTTTGTTCCATATTTTTAGAATAGATGGGAAGGGAAATGAATGAATGGAAAACTTTCATCATCTAATTCTACTTTCCTCTAATATCGGAGGATTTAGAAAAGAGAAAAAAGATTTTAAATTTTTTAATATATTGTTTAAAATATTCTTACTTGTATTTTAAAATTTAAAATTATAATAATGTAAAAGTAAACTGATTTTTAAAATTTTTTCTTTCTCCTTGGATCATATAATATAAAAATTATTGTTTATTCTTTCTCTCTTCTCAATTAATGAAGATTTCTAATTTCTTATATTTTCTTCTTTCTTTTCCTCCTTTTAACCAAACAGACTTTTCTGAAATTCCCTATTCAATCACATTTTTGTTTTCATTCTCAAAAACAAATCCAAATTCGGGTGATGACTTGCTTGTATATATTGTATTTTATATAATTTATATTAAATATGTATTGTAAAATTTTTCCTTAAAAAAAGTCTTGTAAAATTTTGAATAAATATTCATGCTTCATTTAATTGAAAAACCTTTTATTTTCCTACAGAAATCGAAAAACTTGATGATAATGTAATAAAGAACTTTATATATGTTTTTAATTTTTAAAATTTTCTCAACTTTTGTTTTTAAGTCTCTAACCAATTTTTTTATATTAATTTTAGCTCATGAGTTTTTGCTGATTTTTATTTTTGGTCTTTTTGAACTTTTGTTTTCGTTAATATTCTAGTATACAATGTCAATGTTTTTTTTTTGTACAATTTTTTTTTCAAAAATTAAAATCAAATAAAATTTCGTTAGAAGTTTTGCATTTTAAACGAGACAGGACACCAAGGAGCCAGCGAATATGGGTTGTTGCAACAGAGTGGTGTAGGGAAGGGAAATTTTTGATTCTATGTATATTTATAAAAATCACATGTCACCATGTTGATTGTTATTTTTCAATGGTCATGTTCCACAAGTAGATAACGTTGCAAAATTTAACACGGTCCTTGTGCGTTTCAAAAGCCTAACACCACAACCTGAACAAATAAAATAAAATATAAAACAACACGACAAAACCCTAGCCCCACCACTAACTTGAGATTTACATGTATCCAACTTGATAATATATTTATGCTTTCGAAATTACTATTATTGACTTATAAAATATTTCCATTATCTAACTCTGGGACTGGGAAGCCATTGGACAAATTTCGCACTTTGAAACAACGTCAACCAAAGGAACAGATGAAGTAGCTCAACTCAATCGTTCATGATGTAGCCCAACAATTACAGAGATTGAGCTTGGCCCAACACCTATTTTGATAGCATGTGAAAATTAAAAGAGAAAAAAAAAAGTGTGTGAAAAAGAAAAAGAAAGTAGTAAATTGAAAGTTTGAGGTGTAAAATTAGAAAATTTTAAAAAATAAAATTACAGTATTTTATAATTTAAAAAAAAAATAAAGAAGGTGTACTTATAAAAAAATATATATATATCATAAGCCCAATTATTTGATTGATTACAAGTCCAGTGAAACCCACTGCAGCAGGGCTATTGTGAAACCAGGATAAGGCCAACCAAGCCCGACATATTTTATTATAATTAATGTTTGGTTTTAAAATTTTAAATACTCTATCTAATTTTTTATAAATTAAATCCATTAGCTTATTTATTTTTATTTTTCTTAAAACCTATCGACTAATATATAAAATTTCACTTAAAATAAATAAATTCAATTATTTTTCATTGTCTTCAAACCCTAATTCCATTTCTACCAAACTTTAATTTCTAAAATTTTAAAGGTATTTCATATATCATAATATTTAATTATTTAAATAAAAATAAGATTGAATGCTTTAACCAAATTCAATTTTAAATAAAATTTTAATTTTCTCAAAGAAAAATTAAAAGACCAAAACCATATAAATGCATAATTAATTCATATATTAAATGACCAAAATCAAGTTTGTTATAAAGGGAAAAAATTTATTTGATTCTCTTAAACTTTACCTCTTTTATAAATAGTTACAATAAACTTTAATTTTATCTTAATTAATCTTTAAATATTGTTCTGTTGGCAAATACATGTCATGAACTTAATTGATTATAACAAAATAAGAAAATTATTAATAGATAATTGATATATAAGATAAATAATTTAATTTTAATTTGATAGAAAGCATTATTTATAAACGTGATAAATTTTAAAAATCAATTAGAATAGAATGAAAATTTAAGGTGATTATTTGCAATAATGGTAAAGTTTAGGAATTAATTAGAAAAAAATTAAAATTTGTGTAGTTATTTGTAAATTTTAAGAGAGTTGAGTATTTTTGTCTTACATTTTCCATATATAGATAAACTGATTTCTGGTTTTTCAGAGCCGCCAAATTCACATTTCACATTATTTTGGATTTAACATTACAATCTTGTCTATAAATAGCAACCTAGGAAGCTCCTACGCCTGCTTCTCATCCCACGGCCTTATATATCCACCAACATTGCTTCCTTCCTTCCAACAATTGGAGGCAAAGTAGAACACTAAAGATTACTGAATAATGCGTAAGTGACATGGACCTCCAACGATTCATATTTGAGAGAAAAAGGATGATATGTGGGGAAAAAAACCTTGGTGAAGTGAAGTGAATTATATATATTTGGTCACAAGTTTCCCCACCACAGGTAGCTATATACGATGAATATGTTTTTTTTTTTGTGTTCTTTTGGAAAGATAAGAGAAATAAGTAAGTAAGCAACAAGGAGAATTAATAAGTGACGCGAACCCCTTGGTACCTGAGAATCTCCCCAATGAGTTCACCCTTGCCGGAACCGACGTAGCGGCCTTCAATGTTACCGTCTCTGATGAAGAGAAAAGTGGGAACCTGCACAACCTCCATGTCCCTCAGGAACTTCATGCAGCTCTCGTTCTCGTCCCCATTCATGCGCGCGAACACGACGGAGTCCATTTGGCGAGAGAGCTTGACGACGGTGGGGTAAACCTTGACGCAGGGGCCACAGTGCTTGAGGCCGACGTCGAGGACGATGAGCTTGTGGTCGAGCTTGTGATCCTCTATGAGCTTCTCCACGTCTTCCCCGCTGTGCAGCTGCACCACGGCGGAGTGGCTGTCGCCGTAGTAGAGCACGTCCCCCATGAGCATGTCGGGGCCTATCCCCTCCTCCTCGTGGATCTTCTCCTTGCTCTTGTAGAAGCTGAAGTGGGGCACGTTTTCCACCTTCTCCCGCTTCAGAAGCTCCTTCGTCTTCTCTGACTCGTCCCCCATCACCAGAATGAACTCCACGTCGCTGCAGCTGCGGCTCAGCTCCACCATGAAGGGGTATATCTGGCTGCTCTCCTCGCTGTTGCTCGCCGCGTACTCCACCACCACCAGCCTCTCCTTCGCCGATTCCAGCGCCGAGTCGAACTCCTCCACGCTGTGCACTCGCTGGACCCTTTCTTGCTTCTGCGTTTTCTTCGCGCCTGGGGCTGCAGTGGCTTTTGGAGTGCTGAAGGGTGTGTTGTTGTTGTTGGTGTAAACTCTTACTTGAGGAGGTTTTGTGAGGAAGGGTAGGGAAGAGCGACGGGAAAGAAGAGGGAGGAGCTTTGGGTGAGAGATGGGGGGTTTGAATATGAAATTGTTGGTGATGGTAGCCATGGTGATGGTAGAAGGAGTAAAGAGTAAAGAGAGTGTAGAACGTATAGAGGTTACCTCAGCCTCAGCACTCAGCAGTCACCAGTCACCAGTCACCACACACGGATAATACAGATTAGGAAGAATGGCAATCCAGGAAGAAAAAAAAAAATCATATCCCCTCCCTTTGTGTGTGGTACATACTGCTGACACCTGTCTTTCTTTTTTCTGCCTTTTATTTATTCTGTTTTTCCAATTCCAATTCATTTTGGTCCAGTTATTTGGGATTGTTTTTATAAGCAAAACAGTTTTAATATATATAAAATTACGATATGAATTATCTTTTTTTTATTAATATTAGAATTAAGAGTAAGTCTATGTTTGAAATAGAGGGAAAAAATAGGTGAGAAATAAAAAGTGAATAGAAATAGATAAAAAAAAATAAAATAGATATTTGATTGTTTAATTAAAGAGAAGTATGTGAAAAATAAATTATATATAAGAGAGAAGAGAGAGAAAACCTTTTAATTTCTCAATCACCAAATAATCTTATTTATTTTCACTCTCTCCATTTTATTTCTTATCCATTTTCTCTTAACCAAACAAAGAATGTTTTTTTTAAACCTTAAAAAAGTTCAATACTTATTTGAATATTTTTTTAAATTTTAAGAAATAATATAACAATATAACTTCAACAGCTAAATTGACCATTTACTTTTGAAATAATTATAATACAAGTTGTATTTTTTAATTTAATCAAATTATTTATGATATAATTTTTTTAATAGAAACCGAATTAATTATTATACAATATGCTGGTAACTTGTATAGCACAATTACACCCTTGTGAATTACTTTTTTCTTAATTGAAATTGATTCAATTACAATATAATTTATCTATTAATATTAATTGATTTAATTACAATACAAGTAAACATTTTTAATAGTAGTTGGAAGTTATCATTTTTAATGATGATTGAACTAATTATTACATAAATCATTGATAATTTATGTAATAATTTAGTTAAATTATTATCAAAAATAATAATTTTTTTAGTAATTATTTTGATTAATATTAAAAAAATCTAGTTTTGTGATTTAACAAATATATATTTTCGTTCTGTAAATATGTAGAATTTATATACAAAGTCAAAACATGTTTTCATTGTGTATCGTAGTGAAATAATAATAAATAAAAAACATTTTGTCGTATATATTTAATTAAAATATTATATGGAAACAAATATTTAAGTAAAGGATTATTAAGTATTTCCATTTTAGTGTAGGAGTCAAGGATTATTAAGTAATTTTATGTGTTTTTGCTATAAGTGTTAAGAAAAAAGGAGCGAGAATAACCATGTCCACTGATATTTTGTTAGTTCAAACTAGTTTTTGCCCATTCTAGGTTAAATAGTTTAGCAAGAGTCATTTTTTTTAATAGATAAAAATTCAAACTTATTTAATTGCTCCGTGAGTGTGTCTTTTCCTAGAGTTTAGCGTCGTTCATTATGTTTCTGACAGATAAAAAAATAACTTTTATATAAAAAGGAACAAAGTATTTTTAATCATTATGAATTAAAAATAATATAAATTTTTATTTATGTACCAAAAAAATAATATACAATAATAGAGATAAAATAGTGTATAAGTTGAAACAATAAATAGGTGTTGGGAATTAAAAAATTAATGCACATAATATATATTAACATTTCATAGAACATTAAGGTCATCTTCTTCGATGGAAGCAACTCATTTGAGTTGCTTCATGCATTGAAAAATGAAAAAAGTGGTTCTCAGTGTGCCATGTCAGTATTAAACAACTCAAACGCATATTTACTCCAATAATAAGAAACTTTAAGAAATTCAACTTTTAAAATTTTTTTTCTAATCATTTATGAATCAATTTTAATTTTTTATTAAAAAGGATAATTGCACTACAATGAAAGAAAATAAATTAAGAGAAAAAATACACAATAAGTAGATATTAAAAATAAAATAAAGAAATAGTAAATACATAGACATTATACGAAATTAATTTTCATCATTATTATTTCCGAAACGTTTTCAAATATGTTCAATAAGATCTGCTTGAAATCTGATAAGGAACGGTTGCTTGAGGAAACAACTCTCTCTCTTCTTCAAACAACTCATGTTGCCACGTCAGAGTCCTCCAATGACAAGAAATCGGGGCTTGAGTTGCTTCATGGAAGACTGAGAAAAACTAGTTTGATTGGGTTAAACTAGGCAATAGAAAAACTTAAATTTTCATTACTCTAACTTCAATTGAACTATCTTGTTGGTATCCATTTTTTATTTACTTTTTTTATAATTAATAAAATTATAAATGTTGAATTTAATATTACATGTATTAAATAATTTGTGAGAGACTTGTTTATGTCACTAATAAATAATTTGTGACGGATTAACTTCATCACAAATTTGTGAGGGAAATGTGCCTCTTATTAACGTCACAAGTTGAGAGGGATGTGTGTCCGTCACAAATTATGATGAATAAAATCCGTCACAAATAGCGATGAATAAAATTCGTCACAAATTGTGAACTATTGATCTTATTTAGTGAATGACTTTTTTCGTAACTATTTGTGAAGAATATGTTTTTCTCCTCTAGTTATGATTAATTTTTTAATTATGAATATAAAAAATAAATTATTAATTAATCCAAAAAGCTGAATTTATTAATTGTCTATTTGTTTAAAAAAAATTAACAAAATAAATAATTAAGAAAAATTTCTCAATTTTATAAAAGCATGTAACTAAACACCAATATAAGAAAGTCAAGCATACGATAGATATAAATAACACAAAATATAACAAAGTTAAGGACTTTAGTTGATCCCTAATGTATGATAAGTACTATAGTAAAACTTAAACATAACAAAGTATAAGTTTAAAGCATAGTAAATATTAATAATAGTAAAAGATAATGCATCCCTAAACATCTATATCATGATCATCATCTAACTCATTATCATCAGATTGTATAGTGTCTGCATCATGTGTAGGAATCATGTGTAGGAGGAGGTTGGGGAGGACAAGAAGATTGAGAAGCTAGCCCAAGAGAAAATGTCTCCATAAATTGCTTCAATTGCTCACGAACTAACCAAGACTCTTCTTGTGAAGCACGAATCAAATCTGCATGGCTTTGTGTTCTTTAAATGTTTTGTTTTCTTCAGACAAATTTGAAACAAAATTTTTCATTTGTTCAGACTCAGAATTTGAGATACCATTTGAGAATCTAGAAGAAGAAGGTTTATACTTCCTAGCCTTTGAACCTAAACCAAATATTCTTCCTTTTTTGTTCACACCACCACCAACATCATAGAAAATACTATTTTCAGATTGCACACTAGAGATACCATCTCCTGATAATTGTTGTGACTCTCTTTCAGATAAGCGTCTTTCATACTCATTCTATAAAAAGAAAAGTAACAAACAAAAGTATATAAACATTAATGACAATAGAAGATCTCATGAATGATGTAGAGAATCATGCAACAAGAACACAAAAAATACTTAGTAAAAAGTCTAAGATGTAACTTATGAGCAACATCATTAGATAAGTATGAATTCCAATGAAATTAGTAACTTGTAAACTTAGATGCAACACCATATAAACATGAATCCCGTTGAATTTAGCAATTAGTAAACTAAGATGCAGAGATGGTGGCACTTCACATTTTATGAAACTAAAATTGAGCACAACCAATAAGGTGAAATGATTCTATGTTCACATAATTCACTAAAAAATTCAAATCAAATAAAAAATTACATACTATAAATGGTATGGCTTGCAACTTTGAGACCATTGGTTGTAACCTATCTTATTAATTTGTCAAGTCGGTAGTGAAGGATGGAATATGACAACTTTCACAATACTATAACCATTGTTGAATGTCACAACTGAGATTGCAACGGGACGACGATAATAAAATAAAAAATATGAAGTCGTCACCAATGTTTATTTTTATGAAAAAACATTAAAAAAACCACAAAGCAGAAAATGGTCTACAAAAATCATATTTTTGAGTTTGGGAGTAGATTACGTGTAAGGAAGGTACTAGCACCTCTTAACATTCGTCCTAAGACGATTACCTTTAATTAATTAAACAAATTATTCATAATTTATAAAATATTTATCTCACCCTAGATTAATCAAAATTAACTATGACAATCAAATATATTTTATTTAACTAATGCATTTTAAAAAAATTAAAATTATTATTGTTATATAAAAAGGAATATAATATTATTTTTATTTTTTAACTCGACAAGATTTATTTCCTGCTCCTACGTATCTCCATGTGCAATGGATAATCAGAGTCACGTAGTTCTTTGTAAAAAATATATTTGTGTATTGATATATTTTTAAATTAAATATTAATTTTTTTTTATTAAATTTAGGATTCTTGAACTGTCTCAGCTCATTCACCTTAAAATATAAAGTTGACTGAGGTGCACACCAAAGTCAATTCAATAAAATATTTAATTATAATTATAATTATTATTATCGATATTATTGTTACTATGATATATACTTAAAAGATTTTTTGGTTGGATATTTTTATTTTGGACAAAAAACTAAAGATATCAAGTTGTCACAACTTGTATCTTAAATTCAAAGGTTAAAAAGATGTCACATCTAATTAACCGTTCTCAAATAAAATATTTGATATAATGACTTCAAATATTTATGTTGAATATTTTGATAATATTTTTTGATATTTAATTATGCATTTTTGAATTTAAAATTTTTTTAAGATAATAAGTTGTTACAACTTACATCCTTAAGTTCTAGGATTAATGGAATGTCACATTCAAATAATCTCCCTTTTTTATAGATATAATTAATACTAATATTGATAAGAGAATATCACAGTAATTATTATTATTATTATTATTATTATCATTATTATTATTATTATTATTATTATTATTATTATTATTATTATTATTATTATTGTTGTTGTTGTTGTTGTCGTCGTCGTCTAAATGGATTAAAAATTCTGTAAATATCTAACACATTTGTATAAAGAAACAACTTAATCAAATAAAATCAATTAAACGAATTTTGTTAAATCAAGAAATAAATATCATCATCTAAGATTAAGGGAATGCCACCTACAAATAATCTCCTTTTTTAAAGAAGATAGATATTATTAATATTAATATCGATAAAAATATTATTATTATTATTATTATTATTATTATTATTATCTAAACGAATTAAAAATTATAAGAGAACCTAATGTATATTTATAGAGAAATAACTTAATCTACCACAATTAACTATACTAATTTCTTGTTAAAAAAAATATCACAAAACATTAATTCAATATGATGCATATCTTGAGAGGAAAAAAAAGGGACAGAGAAAGAAAAAAAAAAGAAGAAGAAAGATATGATAAATGGGCTAAAAAAAGAGATATGATAAGTGGGTTGAGCCCACATGCTTGGCCTAGTGCAATGTGAATGAGAGAAAGAAAGGGAAAAAAACGTAAAAAAAGAAAAGAAAAAAAAGAATGGCATTTAGCCATGTGAACAGACCACAAATAGAACACAAAGAAAAGGAGAAAGGAGCTCTGTTAGGGTTCCACATGCAACCTCCCTCCGTGGACATCAATGGTGCGGTGGATCACCGCTATAGCGTCATCGTGGCTAAGGCAATTAGCCGTGCAAAGGGGAAGGAGAAGGCAACAATGCATGGAGGTTAGTAGAGTCACCATCACCGGAAATCGCTTCCGACGATGGCACACGGCGGTGCTCACGGTGACGCTTTCACACAAAGGTTACTGTCACTGTCACCGGAAATTGCTTCCAACAGCGACACACGGTGGGGCTCAGGGTGTTGCATCCATGTAGTGACTCGTCGTCGCGACGTACGACCTCGGTGCATGGGAGGAGATTACGGCAACCATCGTAAACGCCGGAAATTGCCTCTGACAGTAGTGTACGGCAACGTTCACGATGATGTTCAATAAAAGTGAGGCAAAACTTCCTCTTTTTGTTTGATTTCCTTATTCATTTTATCTCCCTTGTTTGGCTGGTTGGGATAACTTGCGCGAAGCAAGCTGGTGGCTTTGATTGAATATTGGTTTCCTTATGATTTTCAAGCAGTTAAAGGATGTAATTGTGATGAGTTTTTTTTATATTATTTTTTATGAAGTAGAAAATATGTTTGTGATTATAAGTGTGTTGTAGGTTTGTGAAATTGTTTCAAAAATTAAAACACATGAATTTAGGAAATAGTAACATTGTTAATTTCCAAACCTCAAATGGAAAAGGAAAAATAGATATACCGATGTTGTGCCTTTCCTATCTTCTTTCTCCAAGCTTTTTCCGGTGCTCATAAATTCTACGTTTCTTTATCAATTTTTGAAGCCAAAATTTTTCAAACCCCCTTCACTCCTATTATCCTGGGGATATTTATAGACATAATTTAATTATATTTTTTAACCAATTGAACTAACTGATGCCACATTCATGCTTTTGGCAGCATATCCTACAAGACCGAGATTTCAGGGGCTTTGCTAGTGGCTGTGCAATTTGGTTGCAATTTTGGTGGCTGTGCAGTTTGGCTATAGTGTTGGTGGTTGTGTTGTACAAGCATGTTGTTCCTTCTATTTACGCTCATGGGTGTCATTCTCCTCCAAAATGAACATTCCTTGTGTTGGTCCATTAAAGGAAATGTATTGTATGTTGTTTATTGTTTCTCCTGAGTTGTGTTTCTTCTGCTGCGTGGGTCTTCAATTGAAACATAACCATTGTGTTCTCGCTAACATAACCATTATATGTCAAGTCTTGCAAACATATCCATCTATATCTATGGATACTTGTGGATTTTAAAAAAAAAAATAAAAGAAAAATTATTATAAATAACTTTAAGCTTATATTTAATATTAAGTATCTTGAAATATCAAAGATAAACAATAGATATTAATTTTTGAACTTGCAATTAATGATAATTTTTTTTAAAATATTAAAAATAATATAAAAATATAAGATAAAATATGAATATTTAAGTAATATTATTTAGCAAGTACTCGCAGGTATGATTACTACCATACCTACCTCACCTCATTTATAAATGGGTAAAACAATATCGGTACCCATTACTCATAGGTATCCATTTAGATTATCCATTTATTATCCATGACGAATTTTACCTGTAGATATCCACGAGTACAAATAATTTTGCCATCCCTACCTAGTAGCCTTATGTTAGAAAAACAATACATCCCCAACAACCCTATGCCAACAAAACAAAGGCCTAAGGACTCAAGATGAACTAAGTAAGCATATTATGAACAAGAACTCAATACCTAAGGAGAAAAAATAATGGCATCCATGCAAGGACGTAAGCCGCCACAACGAAAGAACACCCCTCTTCTTATTCCCACTCCACCTTATACTTCACTATTCAATGACTCATGCAACTCATATTCCCAACTCTATATGCATTTGATACCAATCTCCAACATTGTCAAAGGTGCACTAGTACAAGGTAGGCTAAAAGGACATGGATCAAATCATCACACACTAGGTGACCCTCTCAATCCACTCTCAACTAGGGTATCATAGTCGCCTATGATCACCTCTCATACTCGTTTGAGGTTCCCTACCAATACCATAACACTCCTATACAAGACTCAAGACTATAGAGACCCTCTTACATAGACTTACTTCACCTCCCAAAAAAATTATGCATGAATTCATAGACTCCCACACAACATCAGCAAACACAACAAATAATGCAATGTTCAATGCCACATCATTAACTTGCCAGACCTATTTGTTTGGATTTTTCCACAAGATACCAAGCCACTGCTTGGATTTCACCATTATTAAGCCTCTACTTAGACTTTTTCATCTCGAAATACTGTAATATTATGAATTTTTTGTACCATATTATAATATTCTCAATTTTATTATCTTATTTTTTTAATAATCTAAAATTTTAGTAACCATATTTTAATAATAAATAAAAATATAATGTTTTATTTATTTTTTAAATACTATATATATAATTTAACAGAAATATATAAAATTCTATTGTAAAAATTTTAGAAAAAAAATTATACATTTTAAATTATTAATAGGATTTTTTCCAAAAAAAAAAAAGTCAAATCAAAATCTGCTATAGATTTTACCTGCAACAGCCAGTATGAATCTTCCTTATCCCTTTGCAACAAGAATAATCTAATAGTAATGGGAACAAATGTTCAATTAGATTTGAACTAATTGGTATATATAAAAATATTTATCAGAGAGAGAGAGAGAGAGAGAGAGTTACGATACTGCCACCGCATTTTTATAACGTCGGGTTTTCGTGTTTCCAAGGTAAATTAGGTGACGTAAAAGCCTATTTTTGCACTAGTGTCTGCTTGTTGCCCTGAGTGTGGAGACTGAG